TCAACAGGAGGAGAGGCTAAAGCAAAGTGGCTGTGGTTGTAAAATCAGTGTGAATTCTGCTCTTGAGAAAGTTTCACCCAACAGCAAGTGTTTCAGGAAGCCTTAGCTGTCACAGGAAAACTGTTAGATCAGACGTGGTCTCCTAGATTAGAAAATGGAGAATGTTGAGGACCTCTGCCATTCAAAAGAAACTCATCAAAGTCCACTTAAATTAGCTGGAAGTTTAGAAGCCAGCACCCTGTCCTCTCATTTTAGTTGTATGTTAATAGGTACGTGGTGACTTTAGTGGAGATAGTCAAATAAATCCAACCCATCCGTGTAATAAGAAAATAGTTTTATTTGCTGTTGTCTTTTAAGCTGGTAGGACTGCCGAAATTGCTGGGACTGCAGTGGTATAACAGAGAAAAGAATTTCATCCCTTCTGGTAAATCAATCAAAATAACAACAGCTAGATACAAGGCTACGCTGGGCATTTTTCCCTTGTTGACACCTCACAGGAATCCACAAGTGCTTGCTGTAAACTGAATAGTGTTTCAGTATCACACACTTGTCTTTATAAATGACTTTCATTTCTCACCAATTACTTCCTCTTTCATACCGTTTTTTTTTTTGCATTTCCTCTAATTTTTGTTCTCTTAATCTTTATTAATGTAAGGGGTTTTAGACAGGAAATTATTTGGGCTCATAGTTATTGAAAATGTCTCTGCTGCTTTGTGAAACACAGCTGAGAGAAACCTTAATTTGGTAAGAATTATTGTTTCGCAAACCAAGTATTGTTACATTAGCTGAGCACTGTATTTAAATTGCTTTTTGTTACAATAGGTCTCACTTGGACTATTTGGATAGTTCAGTACTGCACACGTTAAGGTAGAATTGCACTAATAAAATCAAGCTGCAAGTACATTTCATCTGCCATTTGGTACTTCCAGTGCTTCATAATTAACTTTGGTCAAAAATTACCTCTTCAAGCCCAAGGGATTAATTCTCCCTTAACTATATTTGTGCATTACAGGAAAAACAGTCAACCCTTGGTTTCCTGGCCTTGGACGAGTGCTTTGCTGCATTTTTAACCTACAATAATTGCAGACGAACTCCAGGTGTGTGCTTGTCCCTCATGGAATGAGTTTCATGCTGTCTGATTTCTTTTTTGTTTAATTCTGGGAACAGAAATGTCCTAAGCCAGGTTTCCATGGCCTGGGTGTCCCTGCCCAGCTTGACCTGGACACGGGAGAGGTACTTATGCCAGGTTTGAGCCCAGGGACCAGGATAGATGCTGTAATACAGCACCCATCTGGCATACACCCTCCCAGCTTGTAGCACTTAAAAAACATCCTCCTGGTATTATTTCTTATGTGAGATCACCCACTTCTTATATTGGATCCCCTCCCCTCAAACTATTTCCTTTCTTCCTTACTTATTGGCTAGTCTAGCCTTTATCCGTAACCTCAAAGGAGTGCTGAACTTGTGTTTGTTAGACAACTTCTGTTAGCCGCCTTGGACTATATTTGCCTTTTGGAAGAAGATAAATAGAGGAAGGCGGGTGATTCCTGCCAGTATCACGGAGAGGCTCTCAAGACAGGCTCTTGACAAGTTATTTGGGTGCTACTAAAATAATCCAGTGAGAAAAGGTCATCCTGAATTCAGCTTTTATATACAGGCAATCACATTACCATATGTCAAAGACACCAACCTGCATTAAGAAGTCAATGCAGATGAGTACAAATATTTCAATGTCCAAACAAACCTCCCAAGCCCTCCTCCTAAACTATTTCGGGATGACATCGAATAACAATGTTAAACATTCTGAGAATATGACAACAATTTGAATTTGTTTACTTTCCTTTTCACTGTTTTTGTCCAGCTAGAACCCAATGAACAACTACCAAAACTTTCAAGAGTCTAAAATTACTTTAAATAAATAAAAACATGAAAATGTTCTGAGAAGTACATCAAACAGTTTTTCAACCATCTCTAGTTCTTAGGTCATTATTAAAGAATATTCTAGACTCAAATAGGAAATATGAATAACACCCTGCACTAAACAAGACATTCATGAGGTCTGGCATTCCTACTACAACTGGTACTGAATAAGATTGGTTTAGGACACAGGAGTCTGCAGCACGGGAGAGCACCTTTGAAGAAGACTCAGCAGCAAAGCCTGCACCTGGCCCAAACCAAACCAATTCTTGCAGCTTTGTGGTGGGCTTAGCAAGCCAGGAAGAAGCTACACACGTTGTTGCCACCTGAATTTTCTCCATCTAAACCATTGCAGAAAAAAGTGTTTTAAAAAGGGCCACACTCCAAAGAGAAGACCACACCTTGTCTGTTCTTCAGGACAGCGACCACCTTGTCGAGCAGCCGGTTACTAATGAATGATTTAGGCTCTATGAACTGAAGACCACTCAGCAGCTAAAGAGGGACAAAAAGTTTGATGAGAACGTGCGTGCTGTCACTTGGAGCGTGACACTCAGGCATGACTGAAGGCCTTTGGGAGACACGAGGAAAAGAAGGGAAGAAACAGAGATGACTGGCACAACAGCGTCCTGCCTATCTTGCAGGGGAAATCAGTCTGTCTTTTGAGGAGAGGTGGAAAGGAAAGAAGACATACAGATGGTCTGACTCCCAGTGGTGACAGGAGCAGTTGGTCTCCTCTCTTTCTGATAGTGACAGTTGCTGTCACCTTATTTTGAAGTCTCCTAACGGAAAAATGGGAGTCAGTATGGTACTGAAAAGAGCAAAAGGATAAATCATGCAACTAATCGCTGCCATTTGGTCTCGGAAGAGTGATGGAGGTTGGTGGCGCCTGGCGACAGCCTGCAATAGCTGAATGTGCACTTTCCCACCCCGAGAATTTCAGCCCATGGAGGAAAGAAAGTTTGCACTATTTATTACAGAAAAAGCCCTTTTAGAGCCAAGCCAGCTACTGAGTGCATGTTTACAATGCTGCTTTCCTAGCAACGTGTGACAGCTTGGGACTCACACACTGCCATCTCATTCAGCCTCATTTCACTGCAGCATCTTTTTAAATAGTCCAAAAGGACAACTTATGCATACACTCTGCTATCAAAATAGGAAGGTACTGAAAAATTTCCCCCCACAGTAAGATTATTTTCCCTATTAACTCCGTACTGCACCCAAAAGGCAACATTTTACCTAAGAAGCAGTTAATTCTCCAACATGGATAGAGAGAGATGGTTCTTGGTTTGGGGAGGAAAAGAGCTCTTGGGAAATTTTGCTTTCTCTACACAGCACTAACGGTGATTCTCTTTTTTTTTTTTCCTCAGGGTGCTGGATAAAAAACATTTATTTTTGCGAAGCTAAAATTTTCAGAAGTACACAAAATCCCTGTGGGATTTTTTTCCCCACGGTAAATCCTATTCAATGATTTTCTTTTAAAAAAACCAAACAAAAAACCCACCAGATTTTGACAGATTTTTTTGCACCCAGTACACTTATTTCAAAGGAAGTCAATTATCTAACAGCTCTCTACATAAAGCAAGCAAAGTAACAATGTGAATTTAAAGCAGATCAAATATACTGAATCAACCCCTCAGATGGATACTGCCATTAATTCATTTCAATTTCACTTAGCTTAACTCTCTTTGGAACAGATGCATACTCAAGCAGATTAAGGCCATTTTAATTCTTATCTGTCCCCTCTAATATGACACCCTACACTTACTTGGATTAAATTCCCCTCGCACGTTTAGAAAAGTCCTAAGTAACCACAAACTTGGACCTACATCTTTAGCACTGCTGAAAATGGGACCTTGATGCCATGGAAAAACGGAGGGTACTTGTGCTCTGCACCACCACACCGTGACCTCCTGGGGCTCCTTTCACCACGGCAGACCCTGGAGCATGGCAGGCTGAGCAAAGACCCCTGTTTCCTCTTTTTTTAAAGGAAGTACACCAAGATTGGGAACACCGCAAGGCAGGGTTAAAGTCACTGCAGGGAGAAAAAGAACAAACTGTCATAACAAACCGAATCACACCACCGCTGCACTTCTTGTCTGACATATGATCCCCAGAGTGCAAAACGGGAACAACTAAGAATGTATCCTGAGAGAATCCGAAAGATACAGACCCAAGGGAAGGCAGCCAGGATATTCATCTTCCACAGTGATCCAGCTGGGCCATAAGTATCCCCAGTATCAGAGCAGAGAGAGTTAACGAGAGGTTCTCTCCCATCTCAGTGCATCTGCAGTCAACCTGCAGTGCTCGTGCACAACTTCAGATGCCTGAAGATCGCTTCAACCCCAGCAGTTTCCAGGAGAGGAGAATTTGCAACCTGAGACCTAAGGACAAGATGTCCTGGAGAATTTTTTTTCACTTTGCCTCTCTCTCTTTTTCAAAGGAAGGCTAATTAAAGCACAGATGGCAAATCCCTACAGCCATCTTGGTCAGAAGACACCAAGAGATTCTGTCCACAATTTATTAGGCTATATGATTAGTCAGACTAGTTACCCAAACTAACCTGCAGTGTCACGGTTTTTTGTTTGTTTTCTTTTTTTTTAAACAAATAGAATGCCCAGCATTAGCTTGAGGGCAAAGCTGGTTCTCAGGAGCTGTGCTCTTTATTCCCTCCTGAGAGTCAGCAGCTACATGCATGCACAGCTACAGACCCTGTGAGCTCAGGGAGAGTTTGCATTTCTGCAAGACAGATAATGCTGGAAAGCATTACCCTTTTGCCTGCTGCTACTCCCTGTGATTCAGCAGACTCCAGGACCTCCCTGCACAACCAGGAAAGGATTTATCTTTTTTTTTTTTCGAATGCTGAGCACAGGGTATACAGAGCATGTTACAGAGGAGAAACAATGCTCTCATGATTGCCTCTAGCTCGGTCGTATTACATGTGAACATGGAGGGTCCCTTCTCTTCCATGGCATCCTCTTGGTGATGCCTTCCAAAGTGAATCCCCAAGCTCTTAGGCAAAAGCAGAAATGATGCCCAGCAGTACGCACCACTGAGTTACCGTTAAACCATATTCCAAAGTTTACCTTAGTTCCTTGAAGGGGTCTGCCCTGACATTGGGAGTTTCTATAGATTTAGGGAACACTGTGCCTTCTGCTCCTGAAATCACAAAACAAAACAGAAGACAAATTGTAAACATTATAAGCTGTTATCAGGGGAGTGATTGTCAAATCATACCTAGGTGCAATTTAACCCATCACCTGACCCCATTTCTCTCTTGCACTCATCCCTTCTGCCCCCAGGAAAAGCCAGACCTTGATCATCTGAAATTGGCTGCCTTACATATAACTGCAATTTGCCTGTGAACTGCACTTCTGACTCTGGAAGTCACCACTATAGAATAAAAAATGCTCTGAGGTGATGCAAAACATGTTAATACAACATCCTCCTACAGTCCTGTGAGAAACACCTGTGGCTTCAGTAAGACTACACTTATCTATGCACTGAAATAAATTGAGCTGTCCCACTGTGTTGAAGAAGAAATCCCCGCTCAGTCCCCATGTGCTGCCTGATTCAGTTGAGAGGCGTCCCTGCCCATGACAGGGAGGTTGGATTAAAATGATCTCTAAGGTCCCTTCAAGCCTAGGCCATTCTAGGAACCATATCAGAATGAAAATAAGGACTCTAACATTTATAGAAAAAGAACTCCTTTTCAACCCAGAGAAAAACAAAGTGATCTCAAAGATGATAAAAGCGGTTTAAAGTTTGAAGCTTTATACAGATATTTAGCTCTTAACTTTACTATAAGCCTTCATTGTTACAAGTTGCCAAAGCAGCTGTAACTTGCCAGCCATGAAGTTTATTATTACCAGATCTGTCTTCTCTCAACAGTTTCCAAATGATTTAAGTCTCTGCTTATCCACACAATTGCCCTGGCTATTAGCTTTGCAATGAAACTTAGCAAAAGATGCAGCCTGCACATATCTGCATAATAAAACAATGATTTTTCGAGGAGTGGAAGATGAGGAAGTGCGGCTGGAGAGGTGTGTATAGATATTCTTGCACCCTTTCCACCAGTATTGCTCAGATTGTGACGTTATGCTGGTAATTTTAATTCAGCTACTTCAGCTATGCAAAGCCCAAAACAGCAATCTCCATGTAACCAGAAAAGCCTGCAGAATAACAAGAGACTTTAGCATATTTCTAATGACTTGGGGTTTCCCAGGCTTTCATTATTTAATTTAAATGCAGGAAACAACTTTGGAAAGAAAGCCAGTGAAGACTCCAATGAAAGTCATTTCAGGAAGGCTGAAAATAAAAGACCCTGCTATTCCTTCATCTCCTTGTTTTCCCTTCCCTGCACACAGTTTTTAAACCCTCTTTTCCTGTCTTCTTTATTCCCAGGTACAGGGAAGAGTCCCTTAGGCGCTGGGAACAGGAATGAGATTTCCAAATCCTCCTGTTTCTCACCTTTGATACGAATTAGAAGTGATTGTGACCTGCCTTGATAAGGCTTCCTGCCTTGACAATATCATTCCTTATTATTCTGTTTTAAGAACAAGAGATCTCCCAAAGGGCCACCTGTCCCTGTCACTGAGTAGGACATCAGCCACGAGGGGATGCTGAGGGACCAGGACTGAGACACCCCTCCCTTGACTCTGGCTGTCAGCAGCTGAGGGATGCCTTGGGCTGGCCGTGTCATCCAGCTGCTAGAGAGACACTGATAAGCTTTCCTCACCTCACCTAATTACCATTTTAAGCGTTCCCACTTCTGTAGCAGGGGGCTCACAGATGAACGAAACACTCTGGAGAAGTTCTTCCTTTGTTTTCCACCTGCTGCCTGATGATTTCACTGGATGCTTGTTCTGTCTTGGACTGTGAAATACAGTAAATAGCAATCCTCTTCTTTCTGTGTTACTGTGAATTTTACAGACCTCAAACGTGCCCATTCCCACCAGCCCTCTCTCTTCAATGCTGAAGAGTCTTGCTCCCTGCCTGGGGGATCGGCAGCTCCTGCTGTTCCTCCTGATGGAAACAATTGCCTTGGACAGATTCAGCTAAACTGGTGGTTTGCAACAAAGTCTGGCTCTTGGCCACTATGGAAGTCCCTAGCCAGGCTGTGATAGTGTCAGTGTTGGATGGCTTTGAAAGTGAAAGCATTAGGCTGGAGGAAGTGACTTCATTTAGAGGTTTTACTAAAGACTTTGGCAAAAAAAAAAAAAAAAAAAAGTATGGAAAGTTTGAGGGAAATACGCTGTTGACACTGAATTGGGCTATTCTGGCTCTGCAGAAGAGAACTGGGTTGTCATGGAGAAACACGCCTGACCAGAGAGAGTGGAAGAAAAGAGATGTGAAATTTCAAAATATAAAGTCCAAGGTCATGTGCTTAGAAAATAGGACAAATTTCTTCTCTGTGTTGGTGCTTCCAGGATGGAATGTCCCTGGATAAAGGCTGAGCGCTACTCACGATTCATGGCAGCAGGAAAGGGCCACAAGGAAGGCAAACATGACATTAAACTGAAAGGCAAGAGGCAAGTCTAATAAGAACATGAAAAAAAATCACATTATTTTAAGAATCACCAGTGAATTCTTGAACTGTTATGTAGCCTCCAGCTCATCCTCAGTGCAGAAAGTGTACAGAGAGGAAATACTGTCATGACTGCACAAAGAGAAGTGAATCCTACAAAAGACGACTGGTAGGACTTGGCTTTTTAGCTTAGCAGCATGATGGCTAAGGAAGGATAAAAATGCTATGAATAAATACATTAGGAGGATAAAAAACATGATGGAAAAAGAACTACCAGCTCTAGGCCAATGCTGGCATGAGAGCAAGTGACAATGAAGTGGTACCAAATATACTTGGGAAGGAAAGTGTTTTCTAGCCAAAAGAGGAGCAGCTTTTCAGTTAGATGGGACAGACAATCTAGCAGATGTGACAAATTCATGACTATAAGACTTGGAGTCTCAAAACCAGGGGACAAGATTTGTAGGACCAGAAAGTGCCTTCTAGTCTTGCCCTCCCCTGGTGCTATTTTCACTGTCCTTTTCCTGAGGAATGATGGGGTTTGGCACACAAATTCAACAGTTCAAGAATTAGCTGCTACAATATCCCTTCTCAATGAAAGCTACTGTATCCCTCTTCTCCCGTTACTGAGTATAAGGCAAATGTAAATTAATTTTATTATTGTACAACACAGCTTCTGCTTCTTGAATTAACTGTTCCTAAAACATCTTCTATCTACCGTGAAAAAATCCATAATAGAAAATCTCTATTTCATTGCAAAGTACTGAAAATATTATTTTTTTGTCTTATGAGACTCTCTGCTGCTGCTAAGGGTAACTTACCTGCAAACAGCCAAAGACAGTTAGGAGAAAACAATCATATAATTTGTATTTAAACATACTATATTGTACATCCCTAGGCAATATTTTTTTCTTTCTCTCAGTACTATATCAGAGCAACTTCTACTAAAAACCATACCTACTGATTCCCTCTTCTGACACTGTGTAATTTACCACCGATAACTGTTCATAAACTGTTTGACTGAAAAATCCATAAAGCCATTTCAGCTTTATTTTAAGTTCCATTTAATGTCCCTCAAAAATGATTTCATCAATGTGTTTCCATTAGCTGGTTCTCTGCCCAATAACTTAATTCCACACAATCAGTCAGGAACTTATAAAGCATATGACAGGATCTACCTGCAGGGTTTTGAACCACCATAAAGATTCACTCAAAGAGTGGTGTGTTTTTTCTGTTTTTTTTTTTTTTTTCATTGTAGTTCATAAGGTGTGGGACAACACAAGTCAAGGACCCCTACATGTGCTCCATGCAAGAAAAAAAACCCAGAGTCCTATAGCAAGGGAACATTTATGGTTCAATTTCAGGGTTTGGGGAATTTTTTTTTTGTTCCTTTTGTTTCTTTCCTTTGAGATGCAGAAGAAAGACTGTATGAGAACAGGTCTGCCAAATAAGAGTTTGCATTTTCTCTGGCACTAGTGGTTCAAAGAAGAAACTGCCACACCTGGGAGAGAAGCCTGGCTGCAGTTTGGACTAGCACAAGTGAGTTGCTGGAGTAACATCCAGCTTCTGGACTTCTCTCTTCCCATTCTGCATCCACCACTGACCCTCCAGTTGCATCTTCTGAACAGCTTCAGCCTTTGTACAGGAAGACGCTGTTCATTCTTGCTGCAGGAAACATGCCCAGCACAGCAACCTGCCCTCACTGTTTCCAGCATGGAAGCAACAAAAAGACTCCAAGACAGCACAAAACAAGGCAATTTTTTATCCTTGTTCTGCACTGAAACACAGCAGAAGTGTCCTGTTCTGTACATGAACGTTGATCTGCCAGTCTCCTTTTGAAGCATTAGCCCTCATCCAAATGTGGGGTTGGTTGATAAATCTCATGAGCTTTGTGAGAGAAGACTGGGAGATTGTTAACACCCCAGCAAGGCAAAGGCTCTGGTGTGAGTTCAACACTGGCTGGATGCCAGCAGCTTCACAGGGGAGAGAGAAGACACAAATGCCCAAGAAGGGAGCAAATCTCGGTGGGAACATGCATCTTCTTAACCAGCAATAAATCCAGCCAGAGGAAGGCAGGCATCAGCCCGTCAGCTTTCCAAGCTGCCTCTTGCCTTCCCCATGCACTGCAAAAGAACCTGAGCTGCATGACACTGCCCTGGCACCTTCCCTGGTGCAAAGGCAAGGGCCAGTCCTCCTCCTTTTGGCCAGAACTGGGCTCCAGCCATTGTGGTGAGGTACTGCTGACACCCTGTTCCCTCTGTACAGAACTTGCTCTAAGCTCCCACCGCTATCAGCTGGAAGGGAGAGAAGAAGAGCTCAAATGCAATGCAATGAGAGGTATTTTTAGACTAATGATTGATGCTCCTGCTGTCAAGGGTAGGTGGCAATCAGCTGAACAGCACTTGGAGGTGAACAGAACACGAAGGAGAGAAATCAGGTTTCCACTCAGGTGCAGATGCACCTGGTTAGCTATGCTTCACATTCCTTTTTCTTCTCTCTAGACAAGACATTTCTTTCCCACTCTGTGTATTCTTTTAGTAGTAATTCAAGACCCACAGCACAACTTTAGCATTGTACACTACCACTTCATAATGAAATTGGAGTCTCGGAGCCCTGTGATGAACTTGGTGATTAA